CGGCGTACCATGGCACGTGTGTACATGCCACCCGGAATTATAGTCCCGGCAAGTCGTGGCGTGTGCGGATATGACACCCAGCGGCGAAGGGGTAATTTCATTAGCTTTGGGGATATTGAGATTATTAGGAGTGTGTGTGTGTGTGTGTGTGTGTGTGTGTGTGTGTGTGTGTGTGTGTGTGTGTGTGTGTGTGTGTGTGTGTGTGTGTGTGTGTGCATTTGTGTGTGATTATTGTAACAACAATATGAGTAGTAAATTTCCAAATGCACTTTTCCCGTACAAGAACATGAAGAACGTTACATTCTTGGCAAATTTCGTACCTGAAAATACCTCTCGAAAATTAAATAAACCTGAAAAGCAATAAAAATACATTAACTCCTTATACGCCACATCAAATTCATTCCTGAAAAATAAAAAATACACCTGAAATGGAAAAAAAAATTGTCTAAATCACCATAGACACCGAATTCACACCTGAAATCAACTGCGTAAATATACAAATCGAGTATAAATAATCTGTTAACTGTTACGCACTGATTAATCCGTAATTAACCTTAGGATTAAGTCGCTGATGACATGACGTAATTAGATTTGACTGAACACAATTGGCTTACTGACGAGCCACTGCCATTGGCTGCGTCACGCCACCTCAGTTCTCGAAACTCTAATCTGTATAATATTAACGTATAATAAAAATGTTAACCTGTATAATAAAAACAATAATACCATCATTAACATGTATAATAAAAACATAAAATGAAACCATTGAAAACCTGTGTAACATTAACATATAATAAAATCCTCATTAACCCGTATAATAAAATCATTATTAACCGTATAATAATCCTTCTTCTCCTCTTCTCTCCCTCCTCCTCCTCCTTTCCTCTTTCTCCTCCTCTACTTCCTTCTCCTCCTTCTATTCCCTTCTTCCTCCTACTCCAATTCTTTCCTTCACTCTTCTTCTTCTTCTTCTTCTTCTTCTCCTCCTCCTCCTCCTCCTCCTCCACTTCCTCCTTCCTCCTCCACCTCCTCCTCCCCTTCCTCCTCCTCCTCCTCCTCCTCCTCCTCCTCCTCCTCCTCCTCCACCTCCTCCTCCCCCCCACTCCCTCCTCCTCCACCTCCACCTCCCCCCCACTCCCTCCTCCTCCACCTCCACCTCCTCCTCTACTTCCACCTCCTCCTCCACCTCCACTTCCTCCTCCTCCTCCTCCTCCTCCTTCCACTTACCCAATCATTCCGCCGATGTAGTTCGAGGCCATTCCGGTGATGAGGTCGTTCATGCCTCCTCCTCCTCCTCCTCCTTGTTGTTGCTGCTGCTGGTGCCCTCCTCCTCCACCACTGCTCGGAAAAGGAGGGAGAGAGAGAATAAGGGAAGAGAGAGGGAGAGAGAATAAGGGAGAGAAATAGAGAGAGAGAGAAAGAGACAGAAAAAGGGAGAGAGAGAGAGAGGGAGGGAGGGAGAGGGAGAGAGAGAGAGGGGGAAGGAGGGAGGGGGGAAGAGAGAGAGAGAGAGAGAGAGAGAGAGAGAGAGAGAGAGAGAGAGAGAGAGAGAGAGAGAGAGAGGGAGGGAGAGAGAGAGAAACATTAATTAAACGTATATGAACTCTTCGTCATAGCATACAACAGATAAAAACACACCAAAATCATGAACCGACACATAAATTCACGTAAAATCATTAACACAAACACGTAACTCTCCAACACATAAACAAAATTAACTTAAGACCACCGAAATCTAACCCGATGCCACTGGGGGATAATGACAGATTTATCTAAGACAAAAACAAAAAACTCGAACCCTTACGACAGCATTATCAAAAACCAAAATCCTGAACCCTCGACCAACATAAAATCAGGTCACACAAGGTCTATTAATTGACTTCTCGGCACTCGTGGAGCCATTTCTGTGTAGGGACATTGATCAAAACAATATTGCATTAAACGTTGCATTTTTCCCGGTAGCATTGGGTTAGAGAGGAAGAGGGAGGGGGGGGGAGAGAGAAAGAGAGAGAGAGAGACAGAGAAAGAGAGAAAGAGAAAGAGAGAGAGAGAGAGAGAGAGAGAGAGAGAGAGAAAGAGAGAGAGAGAGAGAGAGAGAATACACCGAAAGACACAAACGCAAAGAACAGGAGTATAAAAAAAAGAAAAACAAACAACAAATAAACAAAAAACAAAACAAAGAAACATCCTCCCCCCCCAAAAAAAATTAATTAATTAATTATTTAAATTAAAAAAAAAAATAAATAAATAAAAAACAGTACGCACGTAAACACCTACCCTCCGAGAAATCCTCCAATGAGTCCCGAAATCATATCTCCTCCTCCTTGTCCTCCTCCTTGACCTCCTCCTCCGTAGCCTCCTTGACCTCCGTAGCCAGGTTGACCTCCTCCGTAATAATCCTGACCTCCTCCGTAGCCTCCCTGACCTCCTCCGTAGCCAGGTTGACCTCCTCCGTAACCAGGTTGACCTCCTCCATAGCCAGGCTGGCCTCCCGGTTGGCCTCCCCTGCGGAAAGGTCATGGTTAGAGGTTAAATTAGGTTAAGTTAGGTCGTGGGTTCATAAAAATTAATAATTAATAAAAAAAGTTAATAAATTAATAAAAAAAGGAATGAAAAGGTTAATAAAAAAAGGAATGATATAGAAATAATGAAATAGAATGATAAAAACAGAATGAAATAGAATGATAGGTTTAAGTGATGATGATGATGCAAATAAATATATAAGAGAGATAACGATAATAATAAAAAGTAATAAAAACAATGATAATGATAATAATAATGAAGACAATCATAATGATAATAGCAACAAATATGACAAGAGAGAGAGATAATAAAGAAATAATGAAAAAGAATGATGAAAAAATGAGAGAAATAATGAAATAGAATGATGGAATTAATGATAGAAATAATGAAATAGAATGATAGAAAAAATTATAGAAATAATGAAAGAGAATGATAGAAGTAATGATAGAAATAATGAAACCAAATGATAGAAATAATGAAATATAATGATAGAAAAAACGAGAGAAATAATGAAAAAGAATGATAGAATAAACGAGAGAAATATTGAAACCAAATGATAGAAATAATGAAAAAGAATGATAGAATAAACGAGAGAAATAATGAAACCAAATGATAGAAATAATGAAAAAGAATGATAGAATAAACGAGAGAAATAATGAAACCAAATGATAGAAATAATGAAAAAGAATGATAGAAAAAACGAGAGAAATAATGAAACAGAATGATAGAATTAATGATAGAAATAATGAGAGAGAATGATAGAAAAAAAGAGAGAAATAATGAAAAAGAATGATAGAATTAATGATAGAAATAATGAAAGAGAATGATAAAAATAATGGAATAGAAATAATGAAATAAAATGATAGAAAAAAAGAGAGAAATAATGAAAAAGAATGATAGAAATAATGAAAAAGAATGATAGAAAAAACGAGAGAAATAATGAAATAGAATGATGGAATTAATGATAGAAATAATGAAATAGAATGATGGAATTAATGATAGAAATAATGAAACCAAATGATAGAAATAATGAGAGAGAATGATAGAAAAAAAGAGAGAAATAATGAAATAGAATGATGGAATTAATGATAGAAATAATGAGAGAGAATGATAGAAAAAAAGAGAGAAATAATGAAATAGAATGATGGAATTAATGATAGAAATAATGAGAGAGAATGATAGAAAAAACGAGAGAAATAATGAAAAAGAATGATAGAAATAATGAGAGAGAATGATAGAAAAAAAGAGAGAAATAATGAAATAGAATGATGGAATTAATGATAGAAATAATGAGAGAGAATGATAGAAAAAAAGAGAGAAATAATGAAAAAGAATGATAGAAAAAACGAGAGAAATAATGAAAAAGAATGATAGAAATAATGAGAGAGAATGATAGAAAAAACGAGAGAAATAATGAAAAAGAATGATAGAATTAATGATAGAAATAATGAAAAAGAATGATAGAAATAATGAAATAGAATGATGGAATTAATGATAGAAATAATGAAAAAGAATGATAGAAATAATGAAATAGAATGATGGAATTAATGATAGAAATAATGAAAAAGAATGATAGAATAAACGAGAGAAATAATGAAATAGAATGATAGAAAAAATTATAGAAATAATGAAAAAGAATGATAGAATAAACGAGAGAAATAATGAAAAAGAATGATAGAAAAAATTATAGAAATAATGAAATAGAATGATAGAAAAAATTATAGAAATAATGAAAAAGAATGATAGAAAAAACGAGAGAAATATTGAAACCAAATGATAGAAATAATGAAACCAAATGATAGAAATAATGAAAAAGAATGATAGAAAAAAAGAGAGAAATAATGAAAAAGAATGATAGAAAAAATTATAGAAATAATGAAAAAGAATGATAGAAAAAACGAGAGAAATAATGAAACAGAATGATAGAATTAATGATAGAAATAATGAAAAAGAATGATAGAAAAAATTATAGAAATAATGAAAAAGAATGATAGAATAAACGAGAGAAATAATGAAACAGAATGATAGAATTAATGATAGAAATAATGAAATAGAATGATGGAATTAATGATAGAAATAATGAAAAAGAATGATAGAATAAACGAGAGAAATATTGAAACCAAATGATAGAAATAATGAAAAAGAATGATAGAAAAAATTATAGAAATAATGAAAAAGAATGATAGAATAAACGAGAGAAATATTGAAACCAAATGATAGAAATAATGAAACCAAATGATAGAAATAATGAAATAGAATGATGGAATTAATGATAGAAATAATGAAAAAGAATGATAGAAAAAACGAGAGAAATAATGAAAAAGAATGATAGAAAAAATTATAGAAATAATGAAATAGAATGATAGAAAAAAAGAGAGAAATAATGAAATAGAATGATGGAATTAATGATAGAAATAATGAAACCAAATGATAGAAATAATGAAACCAAATGATAGAAATAATGAAACCAAATGATAGAAATAATGAAAAAGAATGATAGAAAAAAAGAGAGAAATAATGAAAAAGAATGATAGAAAAAACGAGAGAAATAATGAAATAGAATGATAAAAAAAAAAATAAAAAAAAAAAAAATCGCTTCTCCCTTCACAAAGACTATATACATAAAAAAAAAAAAAAAAAAAAAAAAAAAAATTCGACCCTTCACTTCCAAACTTGACGAAAGAAAAGAAAAGAAAAAAAATATTGACGTTTTACTTCCGAACTGACCTTAAACCATACGACCTTTATATACGACCTTGAACTGACCTAAAAATATACGACCTTAAACTGACCTTAATATATATATATATACAACCTTAAACTCTGTATATGTGTATGTGTATTGAACAGACCTTAATATATACGACCTTAACCTGACTTTAAAATACATGACCTTAAACTGACCTTAAAATATATACACGACCTTAAACTGAGCTTAAAATACACGACCTTGAACTGACCTCAAAATATATGACCTTAAACTGACCTTAATATATATACGACCTTAAACTCTGTATATGTGTATGTGTATTGAACTGACTTTAATATACACGACCTTAAACTGACCTTAATATATATATATACAACCTTAAACTCTGTATATGTGTATGTGTATTGAACAGACCATAATATATACGACCTTAAAGTGACTTTAAAATATACGACCTTGAACTGACTTTAAAATACACAACCTTAAACAGACCTTAAAATATATATACGACCTTAAACTGACCTTAAAATATATACACGACCTTAAACTGACCTTAATATATACGACCTTAAACTCTGTATATGTGTATGTGTATTGAACAAACCATAATATATACGACCTTAAACTGACTTTAAAATATACGACCTTAAACTGACCTTAATATATATATACAACCTTAAACTCTGTATATATGTATGTGTATTGAACAGACCATAATATATACGACCTTAAACTCTGTATATGTGTATGTGTATTGAACTGACCTTAATATATACGACCTTACACTGACTTTAAAATACACGACCTTAAACTGACCTTAATACATATATATGACCTTAAACTCTGTATATGTGTATGTGTATTGAACTGACTTTAATATACACGACCTTAAACTGACCTTAATATATATATACAACCTTAAACTCTGTATATGTGTATGTGTATTGAACAGACCTTAATATATACGACCTTAAACTGACTTTAAAATACACGACCTTAAACTGACCTTAAAATATATATACGACCTTAAACTGACCCTAAAATATACGACATTAAACTCTGTATATGTGTATGTGTATTGAACAGACCTTAATATATACGACCTTAAACTGACTTTAAAATACACGACCTTGAACTGACTTTAAAATACACGACCTTAAACTGACCTTAATATATATATACAACCTTAAACTCTGTATATGTGTATGTGTATTGAACAGACCTTAATATATACGACCTTAAACTGACTTTAAAATACACGACCTTGAACTGACTTTAAAATACACGACCTTAAACTGACCTTAAAATATATATACGACCTTAAACTGACCTTAAAATATATATACGACCTTGAACCAAGCTTAAAATACACGACCTTGAACTGACCTTAAAATATATGACCTTAAACTGAGCTTAAAATACACGACCTTAAACTGACCTCAAAATATATACACGACCTTAAACTGAGCTTAAAATACACGACCTTGAACTGACCTGAGGCCTCCAATCTGATCCGTGACCTGATCCGTCACATCCACGTAACGCTGACCTCCTCCACCTCCTCCTCCTCCTCCTCCATATCCTCCTCCTTCTCCTCCTTGATAACGATTGGATCCTTGCCTGAGGGGGGGAGGGGGGGGAAGGTGAGGGGAAGAGGGGGGGGTGAGGGGAAAGGGGAAAGGGGGAGGGGAAGGGGGGAAGGTGAGGGGAAGGGGGGGAGAGGAGGGGAAGGGGGGGTGGGGGGAAAGGGGGAGGGGGAGGGGAAAGGTGAGGGGGAGGGGAGGGGGAGGGGGAAAGGAGAGAGGGGGGGGGGGTGGGGAGGGGGAAGGGAAGGTGAGGGGAAATTAATGGGAAATTTAGGGGGGGGGGGGGGAGGAGGGGAAGGTAATGGCAGGGCAGGTTATGGGAGAGAGGAAGAGAGGGGGGGGGGGGGGGAAAGGGGTTTAAATTAACTGTTAATTTCACACGAGGATTATTCAATATCTAGTATGAGTGTAAGTGTATATGTGTACGTGTATGTATGTATGTGTGCGTGTGCGTGTGTGTGTGTGTGTGTGTGTGTGTGTGTGTGTGTGTGTGTGGTGTGTGTGTGTGTGTGTGTGTATGTATGTATGTATGTGTGTGTGTGTATGTATGTGTGTGTGTGTGTGTTTATGTGTGTATATGTGTGTGTGTGTGTGTGTGTGTGTGTACGTGTGTGTGTGTACGTGTGTGTGTACGCGTGTGTGTGTACGCGTGTGTGTGTACGCGTGTGTGTGTACGTGTGT